GAAACTCTTGATATTTGGAGAATTTTTGGTAGGGTACCTGAACTGTTGCAGCGGAAATTGTGTCTCGTAAGTTGTAACTTAATCTGCTTGCAGGTAACCACTGCCCTCGAGCCATCCTGTTCATTTCAGGATACTCATGATTTTAAGAAAAGATATCAAAGAATTTGCAGAATGCATTTGAAAATTCACCACTTACTTGATTAAGAACATAGAAAAGAGAAAATCAATTCACAAAGCAACATGCATTGAACAGACATAGCAAATCCTTAAACAGTTTGTCGGAAGAAACTTACCCCACAACAAAGAAGTGATGACCATCAACATGCCATGACTGAACAGCCTCTTCCAAGTTCTCAAAGACAACCTCAACATAGCCTCGAAAATCAGCAGCCATGACAGAGGTTTTTAGGTAAGCAGCACCACCAGTGGGGTTGTATGGTATGCTTCCAAGGGTGAAAACCCCAGGAATCTTGAAGTAGTCAGCAAGTTTAAGTGGCGTGTCTGCTGCAATAAATGACACACTATTGACAGCATACCTTTGCTTGCCATTGATTATTGGAGCAGAGTTTGCAAGTCTAATAGTACGGGTTACGTTAATCAAACCATAGTGATAAGAGCCCTGGGGATTGGGTCTTGGCCCACTTGCTGATAGATTTCGCCTGTTAAAATGTTAGTAAAACCCCCCTCAGTGTGATGATGTTTCAGCAAGATACAAAACAATCTGTCAGTAAGACAGGAAATGAAAAAAAATGGGAATGAAATACTTTAACGGTCTTTAGTGAATTTACGTGAGCTGGTTTTTTAATATCTGTGATAAGATCAATTTCCAATTTCAAGAAATGGGATCGTTTTTGAAATTTATCACAATTAGTGACAACTTCTGAAATGAAAGGAACAAGTACCTAAGAGACCGAGCCTGGTTAAGAGACCAATCAATCTCAGTTGTTGGGCCACCAGAGGGAAGACCAGAAACACTTCCTGCAGAGTTACTGTAATGAAGAATGGAGGTAGTTGTGAGCACCTGGGATGTAAATCGTGTTGAGACAACTATATAGTAATCCTGCTCAGGTTGGTCAGCTGTAACCAATACAGAGCAGGATTGCCCCAGATGGATGTCTAGGGAATCATATGTGTTCTGCAGTGTATGAGTCCCTTCTACCTCAACCAGCACAATCTTGTGACCGTGGATTCTGAAATTGATGGAGGTTGTAAGCCCAACGTTTGATATCCTGAACCTATATGTCTTGCCTGCTCAGTAAGTTTCAGAAAAATTGAGAAAGAATAACCACACATGCCACACATTGAAATCGTTTTGACTTCCATATTAGCTGATTTGAGTTGATTACCTTGATCAACTGTGAACTTGTAACCATTTGATCCACGCCCATTGATAAGTAGCCCATCAGGGGAAGGAAGATCATGCCCACTGTCCAAAATTGATTTTAAATCCTGCAAAAGTCCACGAGGAGCCTGTCAGTGGACATACATGATAAGCCACATGTTCTGCTATGCATTTACCAGACAGAGAAACCAGTTCTTTCCTTTGTTGTGAAGTTACAAACAATGAATGCAGGTAAGCATAAATTAATGATCAAGTTACTGAGTATTCACAGTGTGGTTTTGTTTGAACCAGTCGCCAGCAAGAATAGTGTAATCTCCGGCAGGTGGAGGGAATGGAACAGGAATGACAGAGCGGCTAGCGACTTTGATGCCACCGAAGCCTCCAGCAGCCTTGTGGAAGGCAAGGGAGGGAAAATAGAAGTAGCTACCTATCTGATCCTTGACTTGAAGGACATAAGTGAAGTTACGCCCTGGAGGAATGGGGCAATTGGTGCCCCAGACACCATCCTGCCATGAGTTCCTCCTCTGCTGCACTCCATTCCTGAAACCACAAGACTTCAGAGTTAATCATAAGTCGAGTAACAATAAGACTAACAACTAGCATGGTGATTGTCAGGCGGTATGAGACATGCACTAGGTTTTTAAAAAAAAAATAAAAATAGGGGTGTTCTTCATTTTACTTCTGATTCGATCATCCAGTATTTGAAAGTAGATCCTTTTTTAAAAAAATATGCAACATAATCACCAACTATTCTAAAAGATTAACCTAATAGGAAGAGTTGTAGCATAGACATATTTAATAATTCCCCTCATCTGTGACCCTTATTGGGTGTTTCATCCAAGAGATGTATAACATACTAAGGAGGAAGTGATGGTGTGGTTTAAACCCAAGACTGTAGGCTTTGATATCATGATAATCACGAACTACTCTAAAAACTTATGCTACTTTAATAGGTTATGCTGATAAATCGAGATGTGACTTAAATTTTTATTTCACGCTGATTGAAAGCAACTGGAGCTCTCAAAGTACATGCTAATTAAATAAGATTGCCCATTGGACCAGTACTTACTATAACGTGGTTATGAAATATTGTCCATCGGGAAGCCACTCTATTAATGTATATAATCATTTGATCAATATGTGACTAGCAAGTCATACTCAAAGAACAGTTGAGTGGGCAATTGAGCCTCACTACTATGTGTTTATAAATCAGAAAATGTAATTTGAGGAAACAAATCAAAAATGATGTGGGGGCAGAATTACCAACTCAGATAAACAGAGACCTAATGAAGTTCAACCCAACAATCTACTTGCTAAATAAAGTCTCCAATACAAGTGGGAGATAGTCCCCTACAGTGGTGTCAATTCACCAACTTAGCAAGAACGGTGAAAAATATTGGAAAAGGATGATTATGAAACAACAAAAAGTTAGCTAGGATTACAAAATTTCATCCACTCAGGTCGCCATGAACAAGAGATGCACTCTCCTCCACATGTAGTTATACACTACCAATTACCAAATCACAGTCCTCATACTAAAACACCAGAGGTCTCCGCCAGCACCGCTCCAATGATCCCTTGACCTATTTCGTTGTCATGCAGGCTAAAAACTTGAGCTCCTCCATGGAACTAATTTTTTTTTTTTTGCATCAGGCTGTCACTTAACCACTGTTCTTTTGGACCTGTTTCGCTAATTGATTTCATATTCAAGAAGGCCAAAAGGGTTGGTCGCCTAACTCCTCAAAGGAACTAGTTTTTGCATAAACATGAAGTATTAACACCATGGTGAAAGATCAACACTGACCATTTGACATATCAATTAGAATAGTATATCTAGGTACCACAAGTTAGCTCAATATGCTATAAGGTTGCATAGCATACAGGAATAAAAGTAATAAACACCGTGATCTTTTAGGATATACTAGTGCAATAATTTATCGATCTGCTTGCCAAAGCTCTGCTTGTGGGGAAAAATTGCGGACATCTGACTCCACCAGTAGCAGTGACAAAGCCTCATGCACGTGCCCAACCAAAGGAGGGCAGGCCTTGGCTTACTAGAGATACTTAGATATAAAAATAAAAGAATGATAGAACTTGATGATGCACAAAAATGGTTTTGCACACCACCTGTCAAATGTATGTAATAAATACAATGAAATCAATGAGAAAATTAAAGAAGACACAATTTATAGTGGTTCGGTCAATTCGACCTACGTCCACTCTTCAATGGTTTCAGTTGCCGGGTATTTTATTGATTCAAAGGTATGGAGAATAGAGATACAAGCTTTGAGAGAGAGAATGGAGAATCAAAGAAGTAGTAATCTCCGGTAGTCGGTTCATCCTCTGTAAGTCTTGGTGGGGCGTGACATTCATCTTCCTCTTCTACCAGATTGGAGCTATTTTATCGCAGCTAAGAGATTATTCTTGGTGGAGATCACGACTTATCCTCAAGGCTTCTTTATCGCAGCTAAGAGATTATTCTTGGTGGAGATCACGACTTATCCTCAACGGAAGGAGGAGGTTGGGGAGCTCTTCATGAAACGTGGTCAAAGATTGGACCGTTTCCTTCGGTGGTGCGGATAAGCTTCCCATGCTCTCCTCTTGATGACGTGCTAAGCAAAAAGTCTAACCGGTCTTGGACTGTCTTGGACTTGGTGGATTTGGACCGTTTCCTTTGGTGGTGCAGATAAGCTTCCCATGCTTTCCTCTTGGTGACGTGCTAAGCAAAAAGTCTAACCGGTCTTGGACTGTCTTGGACTTGGTGGAATCAAAATTAGGTTGGGCTCCTCAACTGGGGTTGGATTTTAACACATAAATTGGACTATTTGGGCTTAACCCATCATTTGCCCCCCAATGCCCCATGTCCAAGGAGACTTGGAGAAGGAGGCATTGATTACATTTTTTTTTTTTTTTAACTTCAAGTCTTTCCCACTTTATTTTAAAGAAGGCCCATAATATTCTGTTTGGCCTTTTTGTTTTGAAAAGGACTTATAACTTTCTATTTGACCACTTTATTTTGAAGAGGGCCCATAATTTTCTATTTGGCCACTTTATTTTGAAGAGGGCCCATAATTTTCTATTTGGGCTTTTTTTCCTCTTTTTGAAAAACCCTAGACTATAAATATAGTCTTCTTCTTCATGTTACCCATTTCACTCATTTTTAAGGTTGAGCACCCACCTCTTGAAAACCTTGAGAACTCAAGTCCTACCCATTTTGTTGAAGCCAAAGTGTGTTCTCCTTGAATCCTTTCAAGAGTGTGATTTCTTCCTTGCTAGTTGAGCTTCTCAAGTGAACAATGTCGATTGAAGAGGGAGTGGTGGAGGTTGAAGAAAGGGAGGAAGTAGGCACCATTTTGGAGAACTTGGAGGCTAGTTTTGAGCATTCGAATGCTGTCTTGGACAGCTTTGGGGCTGAAAATGAAGGGCTGGACAGCGAAGGGGAGATGGGCAGCGCGAGGAGTGGCTTGGGCAGCGAAGGGAGACGGCTGGGCGCGCGACTTGGCAGCGCAGGCGCGCGGCTGCGCGCAGCGCGCGCGGGCAGCGCGGTGGGGGCCTGGGCGGCTGCCTAGGCTCTGCTCCTCCTGTCCTGGACAGCCCAGGCGCGCTGGGCAGCTGCCTGGGCGCTGGCCTTGCTGTCCTGGACAGCCCAGGTGCGCTGGGCAGCAGCCTAGCTGCTGCTTCTGCTGTCCCGGACAGCTTCAGATCTGCTGCGCTGGGCGGCTTTGGAACGCTGGGCAGCAGCATTTTTCCATCAAGGGGCGCTGAAAATCAGTCCAAGGTTCATCAGGGAGAGCTAGGCAGTGGCCTGGGAGCACGGGCTGATCCGATTCCCACTCGAGGCGCTGATTTGGGCGCCTTAGGTGCTGATTTTTGCGCCGAAAATTCTGCTTTGCGCAATTTTGAAGGGCCAGGCACCCTTCAAGCTACTGGGCAACTTTGTTTTGACGAGCAACAGCAGTCAGGCACACTTTCAGGCGTTGGGCTAGACATTGCAAGTAGTAAGGAAGCTTTGGGTGCTGCCCTTGATGATCAAGCCCCTATTGTAGCTCCCCCGATTCAAGTTCCTCAAGACTCTCCCAATGGTGATTTGGACTACTCCTTAAGGCCCCGGAAGAAGAAACGCAAGAGCAAAGTGGGACTTGATGATGACGGGTCTAAGGTGAGCACCCTTTCTAGTTTGTTCCGCTTAGATGAAGATATTTCAAGGCTTGTTTTTACTTATCGCATCCCTCCGACCGTGTTGTGCCGTCGGGCTGAGTTGGGCGAGTTTGCTTGCGATGACTCTTCCGGGGATATTGTTGTCTACGAGGAGATGCTTGAGGCTGGGTTAAGATTTCCCATGTCCTCCCCCATTTGTCGTGTTTTGCATTACTTTTCCTTGACTCCGGGGCGACTAGCGCCCAACGGTTGGAGAGTCCTGCTCGGTTTTCTTGCATTATGGAGAAAGGTGCACCACGAGGATGCTTCCCCTATGGAGTTTCATGCAGCATATAATTTGAGCGAAACCCCTACACCAAATAGGGGATGGTACTATTTTACCGCACGGAGTGGTACAGTGCTTACAGGAATGCGCTCTAATTGCGGCGGCTGGAAATCTTGTTTCTTCTTTATTGGTGGAGAATGGGCTTCAGAAGCCGACAGAGTTTCGGTGCCAACACATTGGGGTGCTGCTAAAAAACCCGGTATGCTGCACACTTCTTCTTTTTCCTTTTTTTTTTTTTTGTGTGTGCTCACTTTTTCCATGCAGATATACCTGTGCTTTCCCGGGACCAGGAGTGGAAATTGGAGGCTGTCAAAGCTTGCCCTTGTAAAGATTTGGGAGTTCTCCTGCCCAAGTATACTAGAGCTGTAGCTCCATCTCAGAAATCTGGCAGCTCCTCTTCGAAGAAAAAGGGTGAGCTAGTTTCCTCTCCTTTTTTTTTTTTTTTTATCTAACCCTTCTCTACTCTTGCAGCAAGTAAGAGGGTGGTGGTGTCCCGTTTTTCTAGCAGGAGCCCTCCTTCTTCCAAAGTGACAAGGACGGATGATGCCCCCCATGTGGCTTCCACGGTGGCTCCTTCTCAACTGGCAACTTCTCCAACTGCTGCTCCAGAATCTTCCTTGCCAGGCACATCTGTTCCACCTTTATCCTCTCCTCGTGCTACCCCTCCTTTGTCTCCTCCTTGTTCAGGAACTTCTACCCAAGTGCCGATTTGGGCTGGTTCTATGATGGGGAGACCAGCAGCTATCAGGGCAAGGCTTGGGAGGTTTGTGTTTGGGCCAGAAGTTTCTGAGCTTAGCGCTTCGGGCACTGATAATATCGTCAACACGTATTTGGAAGGTCTGGCTCAGGTAAGGGTCTGCTATTTCCCTTTCTCCAGTCGTTTCCTGTGTTTTTGACTCTTTTTTTTTTTTTTAGGTTTCGACTTCCTCCATCTGCTTGCTTTCGAGGGCCTATAATCAAGACAAGCTGAAGCTGGATCTTAGCCTTGTGCAGAGGGAGCTTATTACTGCTCAGGAGAGGATTGTCGAGCTTGATTCTGAGCTTTTGGTGACCCGTG